AACGAAGTATTTAATTTAATGATCAATTTTTATTTTGTTAGAAATATCTAAAAATGAATATTCTAGGGTAGACAGCCCTGCATTTACTTTATTTCCGAATAAGGCGCATTTTAGATTTCTAAGAACTTTGTCTTTCAGTATGCTGTAGGGTTTGATAAACTAAGAAAGAAGTGTTTTAAGGTGACATTATTTATAAAGTACTACATGACTGAATAAAGTCGTTTTAGTAAATGAAAAAATTAATTGTTGAATAAACATTTGAATTATCCAATTAACAACACATTTACAAATATTATGTAAACTAAATTTAAAAAAGTAAGTTATAACTTCTTTTATAAGTCTTTGAAGTTACAAAACAAATAGTCCAAAATCCTACAACAGATTTACTTAAATGTAAATTCCATCCGTCTTTCCTTTGCGACTCCTTTTAACGTCCTCATAGAATCGTGGATATGCAAACTTCAAATCTCCTTCAAGATTGAAATTGTAGCCAATGCAGAAAGTCGCTCATCTTGTGTACTGCGAAGATACGTTTTGATACGCTTGAGAGCCGAAAATGATCTTTCTGCAGAGGAGGACGTACTTGGCATAGTCATGAGCTGATCGGTACACCTCTGGAAAAAAGGCTTTCAAGTCAAGTTCGATTATTTTGATATCATATCAAAAACAGGCTCGGCAGATGCGTACAACGATTAGTTCACTTTTGAAGTCAAAGATTCAATAATCTTGGCTTGCAGAATGTTCGGGAAAATTCCGGCTCACAATATCAACATTTGAATGAAAAAAGAGCTCGAATCTAGCTGTTAAGACTTTCGTTTAGTTCTACACATAAAACATTATGATAAGGATGAAAACATTTTCACTTTGCCCGCTTTCATTTTGGTATGACTAATTCCAATAACTTACGTATTTTTTTAATGTTCAATTTTCTTATTTTGTTGAACTATCTTGAATCAATATCCACGCTTATCAATATTATACACTTATTCGAATCTTATTTTTCTTAAAATTTATAAAGAAACTATCTTTTTGCAGAATGTCGGTAGGTATTTGATAAAGTACCGGTAAACTCGTTTTAATTTACGATTATGTATCGAAAACTTTAAGGAGCTTGCTTTGTCTCCATCGATGGATTAACCTGCTCTGATAGTGCCATCGAACAGCTGTTCCAGTGGGAATGCGTCTGCCGACAACTGTGTCCAACAGGTATGTTCTCTTGGACGAGGCGTGAAAAGGATGAAAGACCAGTGACGGTTTTAAAAATATACGACACTCTTTAGTTGACGAGACAGCTTGAACAATGACCAAATTTAATGCGTGTCCGCAACAGTGGATAAAAAGAGCATGTGGATAGTCTTCTCTTACTCGTGTTTGCAAACCGGACAGTTCTCCTGAAATCACACTCGCACCGTCATTCGTTTGGGCAATCAGTTTTTCGCCGCATCCGTACTCGTTCAGGGTTTTACCGACTTTTGTTTCAGTCTAGCCGCAGTTCTACTTCACTTCGGTCGGAATCCAAGAAAGCGCTCCACAGCTTTACCATCTGGGTTGACATAGCGAACTATAGTTGTTAGCTGCGATAAGGTCTTAACGTCGGAGGTTTCATCCAGGGAAATAGCGACAAATGGGCTCCTCATCACTTCATCTTTTATTGCTTTCAACATAACGTCCTTGACAGCAACAATCAAATCGTTCTGGATACGATTAGAAAGTCCAGAAAACACGGTTGCTAGATGATGTTGCAAGCGTGGGGTCATATGCACTTAGCAGTTTTATCAATTCGACGTAATTGCCCTGTTGGCAGACTCCTCCAGCTCCACCCGACCTCTGAAAGAAAGTTCCTGTTTGCCAAGAAAGCAAACAACATCAATGAAACGGCGAAGTACTTCTCTATTCTTGTGCACCATCAAGTTGTGAGCTGAGATGTGTTGACGGGCCTGTTCGTCTAGCTGCATGTCGATGCGTGTACGCCCAAAACTGGCATTCATTAGGCAACTGGACAAGTGTGTCTTCGTTTTCTCGTGTCTGTTGACGGCATTACACAGGTTGGCCAAATCATCGTATCCCTTCTTGAACCAGACTGTCTTGTCTGTTGAGTTGAACAAAAGACACGGCCAGCAAAATAACTTATTCAATTTTGAGGAGCCAGCCAGCCATTTGTACTTGTCGTAATTTGACGTCTGAAAACTTCGAATAAAGACTTTACCACTTCGCTTGGATGTTGTATGTAGTCCTTGCAACTCAGGAGTGGACGGCCACCTTCGACGATCTCTCGTTTCTCGGAAAAAGGTCTCAATCCAAATGAGCGGGATAACAGTGATTCCACAATGCATTCAGTCATGTTGTACAGGTGTCGTGAAAATAAATTGTAGAAGTAGAACATAAAAGGATAAAATTCTAATATATATTTTATAGGAACATCAATCTTATTTATATTACATCAGTTACATGATATCTTGTAGTTTACACATAGCTTGTATTACTCATCTAGATTCATGTATTACATTATGTATTAAATATAATCCTACACTTACTCAAACGCGCTACTTAAACTTACTTAACTTTAAATTACGTAAAACTACTCAAATTTCAAGTACATTATCCGCTGTGTAATAACTGCACCTTGTTTATCAAAATATATAAAAGCCTGTAAATAAATTCTAACATATAGAATACTCACAACTGTTGTAAATAACTTCTTTGCTAGTGAATAAAATAATCACAAAATTAATAGCGTTCTAGTACATTGAAATCACGTTCAGAGCTATACGCTAACTTATATAACTAAAGTATAATCTTCTACAGATAAAATATCTTCTACATAAAATTAGAAATCTACTATTAGAAATCAGAACATTACCTTTCGCTCTCAGTCATCTTTTAATAAACGATAACATTAACGGCGTGAATAATTCGGATGTCCAATGTGTTGAATATACGAATATTATTCGTGCGCTGATATGTGTTTAAAATTGCGAGCGTACTAGACTGTTGACCAATCGCTATCAAGCGGCGCCCTTAGAAGCGCCGCTTGCCTTTTCTCGATATTCCTCGAATAAGAAGCCTCCAAATCTAGATTAACGCATGCGCAAATGTTCAAATAGAGCTCCGAAGGCAAGCGCGCTTGCCTTGGTTAATAAATAATTAATTTCATCCACTTAATTTAATACACTTGACTCATCTTACAAGTGTAGCAAAGTGAAACAGAAAACCACGACAGTAAATCGCGTATAAATAGCAAGCATTTCAACTGTAAAGACAATTTAGACAAAAGATTACATTGACATTGTTTAGAACAGAAAAATTTAAACTGATTTTGCTAAGAGATTGATCCAAAAAATTTTTGTTCGGTAAAATGCTTAGGCAGCGGCGCTTGCCTACGCTTGCATGACCGCACGCCACTGGAAGGACCACAAGAAAGCAAATACAGTTAGAAAAAGCAACGAAGAAAGCTTAGCGAGATCATGAAATTATTGTGCCGTTAAAATTAGAGGTCAGTGAAAGTCAAATCTCGAAAGAATTCACTTTCCTATAGGAAGGAGCATAGAAGAGAAGTGAGAAGTTGAAGTCGAAAGCGAAATGCCATCGCTAGCTTTGTTTCGGTCGAAAGAGGAAGAGAAGTAAACGAAAGGACAAATTTACAGTCAAAATAAAATAGGCAGTTAAAGCAAAATAGGTTTCGTGGATGAAGAAAATCTTCTAAATTGTGACATCATGCCCGGGAAAAATCTTAACAGACACACGCCAAATTGAGATTCCACCAATACATAGGTCGCGTAAAAGGACTGGGTCGAGTGAATTAAATGTCAAAAATAGTGTGCTAATACACAATCATTAATGGGTATAAATGAACCAAAGAGGAATATAACGACGACGTAAATCGCACTAGAGCTTTAAATGAAAAGGTAAATGTCTGAACGGTGTTCTGCAGAAGAGAAGCACAAAGCAGCCGTCATCATGCGATTGCCAAAGTGGAATGGACCAAACAAAAAATCAACATTGTTGCGTAGTAAAGAATAAGGTAGAAAAAGCGATGCTTATAATCAGTTAACAAAGATTGAGTGATCAGATCAGAGATATCAGGACAGGTTCTACTTAAGTAGAGGATAACGAGAAAAACGGCTGTTAAAAATCAGTGGACAAAGATTGAGCGATCAGATCAGAGCTATTAGGACAAGCATCAACATTTCTTAAGGTTCTTGTGGTGAAAAGATAAGAGATACGAACAGCCTCAGGAAGTATTTACGAATAAAATACACTTGTTTGGAGCATGCTCCTTATCCAGTTGTGCAGCATTCTATTTCCACAGAAGAGCTGATGAGTTTGCTGACGACGTTTTCTAAGCAGCAGACATTGTTCTCAACGACGGAAGTCGACCAATTCTCTCCAATGATAGTGAAGCAGAGTAGAAGTAGAGATTTTTGCCTGATCACAAGAGCCGTTCACTTCGAAATTTTAAATCGTCTTGATGCAGAGTGCGTCCTTTGTTCCTTTACTCCATTTACAACAGGTAGAGATCTTCCGAAATATGTGTATAGCGATGACAGAACGAATTTTGTTGGAGAAAATGCCGTTTTCAATAAAAGGTTGGATTCAAATTTAAAGATTTGCCTTCTCAAAAAAAGTTGTAGAATAAAAACGTGCAAGATATTGAGAGCTCCATAACATAAATAAAACTGAACGTTTACAAAATGTGATGACTCTATCCATTTCATTTTTAGCAATCATTAAAATACAACGTTAAAAATTGCGTAAAAACGTTGACCGGCTCATCTTCACGTACGTGCACTACATAATACGTTCTAAAACTTTAAATTACTCTTCAATAAGATTAAAGAGCACGAAGAAGTTTATATTACATAACAGCGTATAAAAATTGAAACAAAAAGCAGATACTTAAAGTATGACAAAGTAATGGGAAAGAAAATCATGCGAAACGTACATTATCACAAGAAACGTCAACGAAAACAAATTCAAACAATAAGGAAAAACTAAAAAACTTACTTGTTTCTGTCATATCCAAATATCTCTCGAATATAATTCGAAACTGTCTCAGGTGCGTCCTCGCTATCATCGATAAATTCATCCATATCGTCAATATCATCCTCCTCGCATTCTTTTAAACGTCTTTTACGTCGAAAAAATTCATTTGAACTACCAAGATATCTGCTAGATGTTGAACAGCCGTATTCCTTTTGAGAAATTGTTCGCCGCTCAATTGTCATTACTTTCGGTTTGTCATTTGCATTACCCACAGCTTTTGCAAGCTTTTTAGCACTAACATTGTTTACAACCGATGGCTTCCGATCCCCTGATCCCGACTGGATTTTCTTTTCAACAAACGCATTAGCCGTTCGCCCTGAAGATCGTTTTGTATCAACAAAATTACTCTTTGATGTTTTTACTGTTTTTTTATCCAAATTCGTTGTTCCAGTGCGTGAAACATCTTCAGTATGCCTCAAATTTGTGCTACGAATGTCATGAAAAGATTCGGAGTTATCTGTTCGCTTTTTAGCCAAGTTCATCAACTCTTCGAAACTCATCTTTGACGCAGGTGTACATTTTTTTGATTTATTAACAGCAGTTTTAACATGTTTCGAATCAATTTCTGTTTTCTTCTTATGTTTGTTTTTCTGAACGCTTCGTTCTTTATTAACTTCACCACGTGATGTAGAAATAATTGACGATGAACTTGGGCAATTGCTAGGCGAAACAGTAACAATATTTTTCAAAGTTTGCTTTGTTTCACTTTTTGCAACTTGATGCTTTTTAGTCTCATTAGACGGAGTTTTAGAGGTGCAATTTCCTATTTGTTTTGCGCTATTGAGTCTTGCGCTGATTCTCGCTCTCTTCGCAGCTTCTTCCAGTTCTAAAAATACATAGTATCTTAGCATATGTCGATATGAAGTAAATTAAACAAACAACTAAAATGAAAAATTTGCAATGTGCAGTGTGACTTGCTTGTAGAGATAGATTCATGGGAGGGGCAGAGAGGGTGCTCACTCCATAGCCTTGGCTCGAATAGGGCCCTGTTTAAACTATACCGGATTGCATCGTCGCGCCGTGATTTTTGTATCGGATTGGGCTGCTGTCTACACTGCGGCGGATAAATCCGGTTATGTCTAGTGTAGCGAAAATCACTCCGCTCTGAAGGTGACACGAAAAGCAATGCGGTACGTGGCGGCGTAGTGTAAACAGTGCAATCCGATAGAAACCCAGTTTGGTGCAGCATTTGACATTTGTCATGTCCGAAATTTCGCAGTTGTTGCTATTTATCTCATGAGATCAACTGTAGTCGTTATATGCTTGCTACTTTCGTCATTAGTATACAATTCGTATAATATTTTAGTATTTTATTCATCTTTTGTATCCACACCTTTCCAGTCGATGTCTTTGCTAAACTTTTGCAACGCAAATTTTTTAAATACTAGAGTATCTTATAGCCTTTCCATGGCTTTCAAGTGTTTTTTTTCTTTGCTTTCGCCAAAATGTTCTATTATTTGGAACAGGACTATCTGTTACCATGACAATAGAGACTTCGAAAGAGCTAAACGGCAATGTAGTGTGAAATCGCATGAAATTTCTATCGGATAGAAAATCAACCCGATACAAAAGCAATCCGGTATAGTGTAAACGGGGTCTTAATGAGATAAAAATATAAACAAACCATAATCAAACCTAAAGGAGAGCAACTGAACGACCTCTAACAAAAACTAATAGAAGTGGTTAAAGCAAAATTCCAGCTTCGTTTTAAAAGTAACCTATACGCAGATGTGTATCGCAATGCTGTCACCCATTGCTGTCAGCGACGAGTCTGTGCTGATTGCAAATAACTTCTGCTTGATCTTCGAACGCGGACAGACGCTTCACAGTTGTCACATAGACAACGTATTATATTTATACTACAATGTAATTGGGATTCATTTTTAATGTCTGATAGACCTCACGCACAGTACAATTTTAATGATAAAATTCACTTCAATCACGTTAACACACCAAATGTAGTATTTTTTCACGAAATGCTCGCTCTGTGTGAATTGGCAGAACGAAATGTCGAGTTGTTTTACTTATTTGGCAAAAGCTAATCGAATCGCGATATTTTTCCGACAGGCGACAAAGGCGACAGAGGACGAATGCACAAAACGCCACGCATGCGCGACGGCTACCCATAAAAATGAATTGCCATGGTAAAAAGAAGAATATAATACAGACTACACTGATAAGACATTGTTTGACAATATAAAGACATATCTGAACAATGAATCCATTGCTATTTTAAAAGAAAACCATTTTTTGGACAAAGGTGCATTCTAGTTACGTCACGGCCGCCATCTTGATTGAATTCAGCAAAAGATTTTTTTCGTTTATAATTGAAATTCAACTTTGTCGGGAAAATTCGCTTTGTCCTTTATCTACTTGTGGTATGGTTGCAAGCCTGAGTCGTATTTCTTGCCTGAGTCGTAATTCTTGAGGAATCGTCTATCATTGAGTAGACATTTATGTGAGTATAATCGGGTAGGTCTCCCCGGTGTTTATTGTATTATTTGTTGCGTTGGTTTTTAATAAATGAATAAAGTGAGTAAACTTCCAGCTAAAGTATTATTCCATCTTATGTGTCTTGAGTGTGTGTGCTGACGTGCCTCAATAATCAGTAATCAAATAAGAAACATTATTTGCTATTGCAAAATTTGACGAATATGTATTTCAGATTCCATATGGTCACTGCATTTTAGAACATAAGTAAGGTAAAAGTACAAAAATTTCACTCAAATATATGCTCAAAATGATCGCTGTATGTTTCTCTTTCAAAAAACAATACATTGTCAAAAGCTGTAAAGAGCCTCATTTTCGTGATACAATCTATATATCTTCTGCACTGTTTACGCAGCCACATTGAATTACTCATGATGGCCCCACGTGCGTACGTAAAAGTATAACATGTACGTATATACGTTAGCAATTTATGTCTAATATATCTATTAATCAAACATACCACAAACACATCAAAAATAGGTACGTTTGCGTACATGCGTTTAGACCAAAAAATGTGTTTAGCGCTCTCAGTTTGACGAAATGACGCAGTAATTGTCAAACTCTTTACGGATTCACCGATAGCACGTGACTGTGTTTTAAACGAACAAAGTGGAATTCTTACGATTTCTCGAAAATTCTGTAAAGACAAATACCTTATTATTTTCACTGAAAATCATTTTTTGGCATTAGTAACATATCGTGCTCAACTTCTGCTTTAAAACAGTTATCTCACGTGTATATGTTGTTGACTGAACCGATAAATCAGTACGCGTATTAATTTACACAAACACGATTCGTAGAACTATATTTCCGACAATTCTGCGCAAATAATGCTTGATCTTTGAAAGCGAAGGCTTCCCACGTTGCAAGTGATCGAAAGAATTCAATTATATTTCCACATCATAGTTTCGCTCGTACCATGCTTTATTGTCATTTTGACGTTATAACATGCAATATGTTTTCAACGTGAACAAAAATGTTGAAATGGAGTAAATACAAGTATAATAAAGTTTTGTGAAGACTACGAAAATTCGTTTGCCGAACTGACAAGTCAAGCTCGTGTTTACTACTTCTGTATAGATAAATGACAACTGGCAATAACATATTGGCGCTCTTTTGTAGTATTTCTATAAGACCATTTTGATCTTTGAAAAAAACCCGGAAAATTCACACATTGAAAATATTGCATTGCACTGAAGAATCGAGTCTGCAATATAATCATCGTCATCATTCTTACATCCGACTATCACCGAGGATTACGACGGACAGACCATTGATATGTATATTACATGGATCGTGCATTCCATTATCATTAGTGCAAAAATTTGTAAGTAGACAGGAAGTAAGACAGAAGTAGACAGCTATAATTAGATGCGCCCCCATAATGAAAAGTCCGACTCATAATAATAATCTATAGTAAAGAACCACGATAGCAATGAATTTAGGAGCGCATTGTACTTATACAACCTAAAAAATCTTTCAACGAGAAGCTAAAAGCATTCTCTTGAGATAGTATCTCAAAATTTCAAAATCGTATATTGAGGGGAAAGGAAAAGTCAAAAAACTTAACTGTAAATGAAACGACACAAAATAGAGGATAGAAACACATCATAAAAATGAACGTGAAACAACAAATCACTGTCAATTTCGGCAATGGGAAGTAGTGAGGGGGAAAATGTTTGCCTGCGGAGACCAAGGTTTCTGGTAAATCGAGAGTAACTAGCTTTGAATGGCTGCAGTGGTAGCTTTAGCTTGGCGTGTCAGAAACGACATGCGTCGAATCGCCGACGTCACGACGTGGTTATGGCCATCGAAGCACGTTATCAGACTTGACGTTAATTATCAAACCTTGGTAACCCGGGACGAGCCTGACCCACTAGCTGACTACTTCCCAATGGCAAAGATTGATTGTCATTAGTTGCTTCAAGTGCGCTGAGGATGCTGCGATAAAACATGCCTTGAGAACGTTTTCTGAGGTTACTTGTACTTTGCAAAAAATGAGCAATAACCTCTCCTGCTGTCGTTATTTTTTCTACTGTAAACTTCCCAATGCAAAGTTTTGGCAACACGAGAGCACAACGTAGATAATGTTCTTTCATATGCAATCTAGTCTTCTAATAAAGTGAATGGTTTGAACCAGGTAGTATCGTTACATGTTTTTGGATGTACATCGTTCTAGTTTTCTAAAGTGGTACTCGTCTGCGTCATATTTGTTATCATATGGAAGGCGTAAGAAACGCGTATGGTACGAGAACGATACGCGTATGACACGAGAACGATACGCGTATGATAAGAGAACGATACGCGTACGATAAGAGAACGATACGCGTATCATACGAGAATGATACGCGTATGATACAAAAAGGATACGCGTGTGATGTGAGGATGAAACGTTATGATACTTGATAGAACATTGTTCATCGAAATGAGCAGTAATTTTGCTTTCAACTCACTAGTTTCATATATTTCATTAATCACGGTTTCACATAAAGATATGTGTACTCGAGTTAAGTCTCGAAAATGGCATGTCTTGCTATATTGCTTTTAACGTCATGCTTATCGTGAATTTTGATGGATTTCTCTCCGTCCATTTCTTAAGTGCGTCAGTAAGTTGGATTAAGTCCCAATTCATTCCAATCATCATCCATGCGCACTAAATCGCCCCGAATTCCCTCTAATTTATCAAGGCGCATGCGAGCATGGCCGTTTACATTTTTTAGTTTTCCCATAGTCTCAAGTGATTGAACGTTAAACAAAAGTTTATCATAAAAGGCGTGGATCTTACTGCAGTGCGTTCCCTGTATGTTATGTAAATTCATGATGTTCTGTACATAGGCGCTGACTATTTCATTAGTATCCCCAAACTTCGACTGTAGAATGTTTTTCGCCCGCTGATATCCTTCGATAGAAAAAGGTAAACCGTCTATGCACGATTTAACCTTGGGGGATGGTAATTCTTTCAAGTAAGAGAACTTTGTCACCGTGCGAACATCCGCTTGACCAATTTCGGCTTCATACTGATTCCAAAATCGCATCCAATCTGTTGCTGTACCATGGAAGTTGGTGACAACTAGATTGGGTAACTTTGCGCTAGTGGTTCTCGCTTTCTCTTGGTCTTTGCGCAAAGATTCCATTTTCAACTCGTATCGCAACGGTTTTTCTTTTCATTATGTGCACATCATTCGTCAGCCAGTTTCTCAACTTAAATCCGCCTTCAGCCATCCTATTTCTTGCCTTTTCAAATAGGTCTATTGTCTCGTGCGTTGTTCTTCCTCCCAAAACTAAATCGTCAAAATCAAACCTTCTTGTAATCTTTGCGCAAAAACTGGCTCAAAT